CTTGTTTAGACCCTGCCTTCAGGTAGCTAAGTGTGTCATTGCTTCTGTTTCAGGGGACCACCAATACAGTCACCTGACCCTTAGTATTAGCTGTAATGATTGTCCTTCTCTCAGGATACTCCCAGAAGCCTCTGCTGTGGCTTCCTTAAACCCTGCTGACCACAGAAGCTGAGTTACAGGGATGGGAGGGTGGGGAGGATGGGGGAAATTCTCCCATGTTTTCAGAGTTTGATTATAAACGCTAGAGATTTGTTAACCTTAACAGCGATGAGGGGGATGAGAGGATGATCAGAGGAAAGGCAGCAGGGTTTATAGGACCGAGGCAGGGTATAAATCTATATAAATAAACACCATACCACAAGCATCCTGTGTGCTAGCTCATTCAGTCATCCCTTTTGGGAAGTTTCAGTATCCATGTGTTATAGATAAGGAACTGAGGCACAGAGAGAGGATGTGACCTTCAAAAGGTTACACACACACACACACACACACACACACACACAGGTCACACAGCTAGTTAATGATAAGGCTATAGTTTCAGCTCGGATCTAACTTCAGATCCTGGGCCTTTAACTACCACACTGTTCTACAACCTAAAAACATTTTAAATTTACAGCGTGTCCATTGATGCCCCATTTTAAATCAAGCAGTAGTTTCCTAGGAATGAGAAGTTAGGCGCAGGTGGGAGAGGAGTGGGAAGAGCCGCATGGGGAAGAAGCCTGCCAGCTGGTCGCCTCTGATCAAGGGGACTTAATCAAGTGGCCGACCAAGGCCAGACTACCTTAATCAAAACACACAGAGCTTAGGATTTAATGTTGCTTTTTAGAAACTGAACTTGAATTTTATTCTTTTTCAAACGCAGTTTTATTTTTGACCGACTTTATGCCGCCTTGCCAATGTTCTCAAATAGTTTTGCATTGCCTGCAAGTTACTCAAAGCAAGTTTTAGGGCCAAAGCATATTTTTTATGTGATTTTCAAGTTGGCAGACAACGAAGCTTAGTGAAAGGCACCCAGGGGCTGGACAGACCTGAGGAGTCCTAGGGTCTGGTCCCAAACTTGCTGTTTAGGTCAGGATAGGCCTGCAGGAGTCCTCACTAAACATTCAAGCAACATGTCTGGTTTGAAGCCATGAAAAACATGGAAGATTTTGGTCTTCTCCAAGCCTCAGATCCAGGTCCAGCCCTGCTCGCTGGGTAGAGAAGGTTGAGCAGTCTTGATTCTGTGGTAACTGCTCTAGGTCTTTGCATAGGGCCAGCTGGGAAGGGCAAGGGCACTGGTATCTTGGCTCTGGCCTCTGCTTGTCTGAGTCACGGGCAGCTCCAGCAACTGGTCTCCTCAATCTCTGGGGTCCTCCAGAGGACAGGCTTACAGTGACTGGAGACAATTCTGGTCCCAAACTGCCTGCTCCACAAATGAGGAAAGACTGACAGACTGTCAGAGCAGGAGGCCCTGAGGGTTACACATACTGGCCGTGGGCCCAATATATTGAATAAGAATCTCCAGAGGATGGGGCGGCTGGGTGGCTCAGTCAGTTAAGCATCAGCCTTTGGCTGGGAGTTATAATCACAGGGTCCTGGGATGGAGCCCTACATTGGGTTCCCTGTTCGGTGGGGAGTCTCCTTCTCCCTCTGTCCCTTCCTCCTAATCCTCCCCCCCCCACCAGCCCTGCTCATGCGCATACTTTCTCTCTCACAAAAAATAAATAAAATCTTAAAAAAAAAAAAAAGAATCCCCAGAGGTACTGGTATAAAAACAGACACACAGATCAACTGAACAGAAGAGAGAGCCCAGAAATAAACCCCCGCATATATAGTCAATTAATTTATAACAAAGGAGCCAAGAATATACAATGGGGAAAGGACAGTCTCCTTAATAAATGGTGTTAGGAAAACGGGACTGCCACATACAGAAGAATGAAACTCATCTGCCGTCTTACAGCATACGCAAACATTAACTGAAAATGGGTTGAACACTAGAATGGAAGACCTGAAGCCATAAACCTCCTAGAAGACAAAATAGATGGTGGGCTCCTTGACATAGGTCTTGGTGATGATTTTTTTAATCTGACACCAAAAGCAAAAGCAACAAAAGCAAAACAAAACAAAAAAAAACAAGTGGAGAATAAGAAGATTCTTCATAACAAAAGAAACCATCAACAAAATGAAAAGGCAACTACTGAATGGGAGAAATATTTGTGAATCATATATCTGATAAGGGGCTAATATCCAAAATATATAAGGAACTCACGTAACCCAACAACAACAACAACAACAACAGATTAATAGACACTTTTCTTTTTTCTTTCTTTCTTTCTTTTTTAAGACTTTATTTTATTTATTTGAGAGTGTGTGTGCATGTGCACACAGGGGGAAGGGCAGAAGGAGGGGACAAGCAGACTCCCCGCCAAGCTAGGAGCCCTACGCAGGACTCCATTCCAGGACCCCAAGATCACGACCTGAACTGAAGTCAGAGGCTTAATCGACTGAGCCACCCAGGTGCCCTGAATAGACATTTTTTCAAAGAAGACATATAAATAGGCAACAGGTACATGAAAATACGCTCAAGAGCATTATTCCTCAGGGAAATGCAAATCAAAACCACAAGGAATATGACCTCCACCTGTCAGAATGGCTATCATCAAAAAGACAAGAGATAACAAGTATTGGTGAGGATATGGAGAAGAATCCTTGTGCACTGTTGGTGGGAATGTAAATTAGTGCAGCCACTGTGGAAAACTATAGGGAGGTTCCTCAAACAATTAAAAATAGACCTACCAGATGATTAGCAATTCCACTCTGGGTGTTTATTTAAAAGAAAACAAAAACACTCACTCAGAATAATAGATGTTCCCCCAAGTTCACTGCAGCATTATCTACAATAGCCAAGACATGGAAACTACCTAAATGTCGACAGATGGATGAATCAATAAAGAAACCGTGGTTTATGTATGCAATGGAATATTATCCTGCCATAAAAGGAATGAAATTTTGCCATTTGAGACAACATGGATGGACCTCAAGGGTGTTATGCTAAGTGAAATAAGTCAGACAGAGAAAGACAAATACCATATGATTTTTCTTAAATGTGGAATCTGAAAAAAAAAAAAAGTCAAAAACCCAAGCTGATAGATAGCAGAGACCAGATTAGTGGTTGGGAGAAATGGGTGGAGGTGAACAACAACAAAACCAGTTAAAAAACAACAAGAGATTTTTTTTTAAATCCCCAAAGAGCTCCTTATAAAAACAAAATAGATCCCTGGGGCTGCCAAGCTGGACTTTCTAAATCAGATCACCCCGGAAGAGGGCCTGGGCCTCTTTAACAAACTCTCAGGGGATTCTTATCGATGGCAGCCAAGTCCAGTCTCTCCACTTTCCCCAGGGAAACTGAGTCCCAAAGAGGCCTTGAGCCAGTCAGCAGCAGAAACAAAATAAGAAATTAGGTCTTCTGAGCCACAGTTAGATGTTCTTTCCACACTAACTAGGAGCCCACAGGACTGAAAAGAATGGCCCACCACTTATTTTAATATTCTTAAAATCAAAGTTATTCATGCCTATAGTTTAAAGAGTCAAATACATGGGGCATGTGGGTAGCTCAGTGGGTTAGGCCTCTGCCTTCCGCTCAGGTCATTATCTCAGGGTCCTGCAGTCCTGGGATCGAGTCCCGCATTGGGCTCTCTGCTCAGCAGGGAGCCTGCTACCCACCCACCCCCGCCCCCGCCTCTCTGCCTACTTGTGATCTCGATCTTTCTCTCTCTCTCTCTGTCAAATAAATAAATAAAATCTTAAAAAAAAATAAAGAGTCAAATGCAGGTAGTTTTACAAGGGTTTTATGAAAAAAACACAGTTCCTTGTCTATGCTCCCCCATGTGCCCCTCCCCAGAGGCAATGACTTTCAACTCTTTCAGCTAATTGTTTTCATATTGAAAGAGACCAGAATGTCACCCCAAAATATGCCTCTTTGACATAAAAATCATTTTGAGTTGAAGGTGATTAAGAAGCAACAAATGCAGGAAAAAATCTCCTTCTACCCTCCCCCACATTTTGCCTAAAGGCAAGGTATCAACTCTCCTTTTCTGGAGACAGATTCTTATCAGCCCAGACAAGCTCCAGAGGAATCTGCCAACAAACCTACTCAGCTGGTTCACTTCCTTGTATTTACACCGCCCCCCTCCCCCAACAGCTTCCATCTCTGGAACCCCAAAACCAGTTTCCTTTGTCCTGTCATTTCTATACAAATTGACTGTTCTTTCTTGAAGATGCTATACAAGCCAGAGTTCTAACTGCTGCTCTGAGTTACTTTTCATTGAGGTTTCCCCCACATGATGTAGAAATGCCACATGTGTTAATAAACTGTTTTTCTCAGGGCACCTGGGTGGCTCAGTCATTAAGCATCTGCCTTCTGCTCAGGTCATGATCCCAGTGTCCTGGGATCGAGCCCCACATCAGGCTCCCTGTTCAGCGGGAAGCCTGCTTCTCCCTCACCCCCTGCTTGTTCTTCCCTCTCTCACTGTGTCTCTCTCTGTCAAATAAATAAAATAAAATCCTAAAAAAAAATATAAAATGTTTTTCTCTTCTTAATTGGTCTTTTCCATGAGGAGCCCCAGCTGAAAACCTACAATGGGTAAATCTGGCCTCCCCTACAGTATTTACCTCCACCTTTGGCATTGTTTGTATGAGCGTGTGTCACTCTTGTGTGATCTTTTTTTTTTTTTTTCAAAGTTTGTTTATGTATTTTTAAAAAAATTTTTTAAAGATTTTATTTATCTATTTGACAGAGATCACAAGTAGGCAGAGAGGCAGGCAGAGAGAGAGGGAGAAGTAGGCTCCCTGCTGAGCAGAGAGCCCAATGAAGGGCTTGATCCCAGGACCCTGGGATCATGACCTGAGCTGAAGGCAGAGGCTTACCCCACTGAGCCACCCAGGTGCCCCTATTTGTGTATTTTTTTTAAAGTAATCTCAACACCCAATGTGGGGCTCAAATTCACAAACCTGAGATCAAGAGCCACATACTCCTCCAACTTAGCCAGCCAGGTTCCCCTCTTATGTAGTCTTACTAATCCAGTTACTATGGATTGCCAGGTCTGGCCCAGGACTGGGATGCACAGGCATTGTGGAATGCGCCAGTGCTCATTGGGCACAGGCCACCAGCTCCTCCAGCGCTTGCTCACTGCGGTTGCCGTGGACCAGCAGCACTTCCTTGATCCGGTCCTGCTGGAAGCCCATATCACTGAATTGTTCCCAGAGGCGCAGGAACTCCCCTGCCTGAAGAAGGGGAAGAAGAGAGAATGCTGGGTACACTGCCAGGCCAGTCACCTCCTGTGGAGCCTTCTCCCTGGTACCTACTGTATCTACTCCCACAAAGCTATGGACTCCCCAAGCCAGGTAAGCCCGGTCCTGGGCAGCACCTGCTTTTTCTTCCTATACCTTGGGGTGACATGGGCCTGGACCTTCCTTCCTGTGCCAAGGAAGGAGGTTCTGGCCTGATAACTGGCTCCATCCTGGCTTTACTCCTCCACTCCAGCTCATTCCTGACTCCCTATGCTTGGAGACTGGGGCAGAAAAACAGGAGGCTGCATACTGGTGCCCAGAGGAAGCACAGCCTGGGGTCTCTACCCAAGCCCCAAACCCTCCCAAAGTTTCACACCATGCAGCCTCTGCCTTCCTTCCTCCTCTGGCCCCAGTACCTGAGAAGTGCCTGCTTCTCCTCCCTTCCTCCCTCCCCCTTGGCATCCCTTGCAGCCCTCTGTCCTTGCCTCAGCCTCTGTGGAGAAGCGCTCAGCAGAGCCACAGCCAACAGCACCCTGAGGACAGGTCATGTCCTCTGGGCATTCAGAATATACCACTGAGCCCACAGCTGCCTGCCTTCTGGGTTTCCAGATAGCCAGCAAACTGACCGAGCAGAGTTTATGCATCTTTGTGCTGTATGTGGCTCCTCTCTAGGTGTCTGACAGAGTGGGCATTCAATAATATTTGTGTGTTCACTTGGCTAAATAATGTGAAAGTCTTGCCACCTGCTTCCCTCCCCATCCCATCTTCTCCCCTTCCCCACGCTTCACCTCCCTGGGCTGTCTCCTCCCCTCCAGGGCTCAGCAAGCAGGCTGTCTCCTGATGGCCCCAAGGCTCTGGCTCTAGCATAAGTGTGTCCCTGAACACTAGGCTTATGTGTGGATCCCTACCCGTCTCCTCCCCCCACCCTGGGCCTGGGCAGGTGGCCCTGCTGACCTGGCTCTCGGAGAACTGGAACATCTCCATGGCCTCCTCCACCAGCCCCTCCTCATAGCCTTGCCGCAGCAGCCGGTCACAGGCACTAAGGTAGCTGAGAAACTGTGGGAGGGGGGCGGGGAGTGGTGCAGTCAGAGCAGTGGCAGGGGCAGAGGATGGGATAGAGAAAGCATACTGGCAACCTCAGGCAGGCCTGAGCTCAGACCAAGCTGACAACACACTCACGAAATGGCCCCAGAGACCCTGTGAGCCAACAGAAGAGGGACAGAGGTCTCCCCTGGAGACCCGGGGGTGGGTGGACAGGAAGTTCTTAACCAATTGTCCCCAACCAGGGGCTCTAATCTAGGAAAAGGGCTGTCAGGGTGAGATAAGCATTCCCAGACCCTAAGTGGGGAGTGGGACTGTCCGGAAGCACGGGCGCCTCACCCACCACCCGTCCCAGTCTGTTCACCCTCCCTAGTGAGCACCCACCTGTGTGAAGCAGCCTCTTCAGCATCCACACCTGGGCAGCCCTACCCCATCCCTAGACACATACATGTCTGCTATCCGGGCCCACATGAACTCTGGTGCCAGAAAGGGGCGGAGGACAGAGGAAATACCACAGGGCTGAGAAACCTGTTCAGGTCCCTCTGTGATTAGTCACCAGGAGCTGCTTTTGCCCTCAGGATGAAGTACTGCCTCTTTCCCAGAGCCCAAAGGCCTGCTCCTCTGCCCCTGTCAGTGGCCTCAGCTCCCCTCTCAGCACCCCCAGGCCTCCGCACATCTCACTCTCTTGGTCAAGGCCAGCCTCAGCCCTCTTCCCTGGGAAGCCTCTGCCCTGGTCTCCACTGGGGGCCTTGCCTGCTGCTCCCATAGCCCTGTGCTTCCCCCGTCACAGCATGTCCAACTCGTTATTCTCCTCTCTCTCTCAGCGAGGGAAGGGTTGTTTCAGTCTTGATCACCACTGTGTCCCCAGCACCCAGCATGGCAGGCAGAAGGACCTCAATAAATGTATGCCATGTTTCTAAGATGAATTAAGAACTACCTTCAAGGAGCTCACTGCTTGGGGGGGCGAGGGAGGTGGGTGAGCCAGATAGAGGAAATCTTGAGTGCCAGGCAAATCAAAGCAACACTTATAGAGAGCCAATGCCAAAGGAAGGTTCCAGGCCATAAGAATTATGGGTATAGGCGGAGAAGAACAGGGAGGTTTCTGCAGACCTTCAGAGGTGGATTATATAGACTAGTGCTTTCCAACTGCTTTAGCTTCTAAGCTGTCCAAGCATCAGGAGACGTCAACAATAATGAGAAGATAGAGCTGCTCTTGGAGAACTGGAGGCAGGAGCAAGGGAGCCAGAAGTCTGGTGCTCCCGCCTCAGGACGCCTGGACCTTGCTCTGAGCATGTTTTGTAAACCATCCAGCCAAGCTCTCCTTGTTCAGTGCAAGAAACAGGCCCAAGCAGGGTGGGCAGGTTGCCCAGGGACCCAGGACTAAGACCTAGATTATCTGACCTCTCAGCTTTGTCCATCAGGGACCCAGTGCTAGAGGAGGTTTTCTGAGCTGCCTTGAAAGTGAACAGGATTTCCAAAGGTGAAAAGAAGAACAAGTCAAGCGTGGATGGTGGCTGCTCCTTGGTCTCTGGGTTCAAACACAGCAACGGTTCTTGGCCTTGGTGCTGACTGCAGCTACCTGGGAGCTCGAACATCACTACCCATAAGCCTCGGATGGTTGTCTCCAGAGGCTCAGATATAATTGGCCTGGGAGGCAGTCTGCTCACTGGGATCTGTAATGGCTCCCCAGGTAATTCTGTGCAGCCATAGCTGAGAACCACTGACTCAAGGGACAGCTGACCTCGACCCATACCAGTAGACCCCGTGCAGGCTGGATATCAGAACCACCTTCAGATCCTTAACACAATAGGCTTTTCGGTGCACTCCATATCTGCTGACTGGGATTCTCCAGAGTAGGTCCTGGGGATCTACAGTTATAGACATTCTGCTGCTTGGTCAGCTTTTGGGCCTATGAGACTGTAGAAGCCACCAGATCTGCCTCAGGCCCCAGGATGTCACCTTCACACCCCAGAATGGGGGCTTCAGCACTCATTGATTATAAATGTGTGTCCTGCCCTCCATTCTGTAAAGAGGGGAAGCACCGTGAAATGCCTGGAGTCCCATACCAAGTCTGGGCCTGGCCTGTGGATGCTCACACATGCCACCCATGTTGTCCTTTAGGCAGCCAGTGGGCACATCAGTCCTTGTGGAAGGAAGGAAGGAACAATGGACAAAGCTTATCTTTTATATCTCCTCCTTTCTCCCTGGCTCTTCTAACTGCTCTGTCTCTGTCACCTGATGCTCGCCTTCCTGGGCCATCTGTCAATAATTTCTGGCCAAAAAGGTTTATTATAGTATATATCCTTTAAGGGGGGAAGGACTCTGAACCTAAGGAGTTGCTCAGTTAGTGGTGGGACTTCACAGAATAGAGGGAAATAATCACTTGGTGGGGGAGGACAGATGGAGTCCATCCAGTGGCCCTTCAGGGCCACACCTTAGGGCTTGGCTCCTGACTGACAACCACGGAAGAAGGCCACCCAGAGATCCGGCTGGCCAGGCAGGTGGTCAGTGCATATCTGGAAACAGAATGTTCCTGATGCAATGGGATTCTTCCAGCCCACCCATGGGGAGGCCAGTGCCTCGTGCTGCTCCAAACTCATCCTCAGACCCCCACAGTGATGGCCTGAGGCCTCAGCCTTGTCACAGGAGCTAAAGGGACTGGGCGGCACGTCAGAGCCCCCACCATGGCCATGGTCCCTCACAGTCCTCCTGGCCAGCTTCTTGGCCCAGGTCCTAGCTTTCGGCAATGGCTGAAGGTGGGGACAATCTTAGATCTACTCTTAAATCTCAGATCAGTCTTGGGTGCTTCCCTGGAAGGTTCTTGCCCAGTAAATGAGAGGAAAGTACCAGGCAACAAAGATTCAGAGTCAAACCAGCCTGGCCTCAACCCCGGCTCTTCCACTGATCGCTTATATGAACCTCCCTGGCCTCAGTTTCCTCATCTGCAAAGTGGGGAGGGACAGTAGTAGCAACCTTGCAGAACTGAGAAGACATAATCAAATATTCTCAGATTGAGGGCCTGGCACAAAGAAGGTGTTGGATGAATGTCAGCAGCCATGTTGGAAGTTTTCCTCTAGGACAAGGCATGGACTGATGAAGCCAGAGAACAGAAGCAGGGGTGGGTCGGAAAGGTGGCCACGTGCATTCACCCACCTCCTCAGCCTGGCAGCACCACGTCCTGCTTCAGCTCCGGTTTGAGAGTCACTCTCCTTCTATCCCTCCCTTATCCAGGAGCAGGCAGCTCTGGACCTCAGGGACCCAACATATGACAGCCGTCAGACATTACGGAGAGAGCATCCAAACCCTCTGATGGTGACGGAGCAGAGATAGAAGAAAGGAAGAAGTGCCAACTGCCCTGGGACCTTTTGATATCTGCAGCTCAGCTTTCCAACCGAAAGAGTTCCCATGTGCAGAAAACAATGGGAAGCAAGCTGTGACTTTCAGGTGGGAGAAGGGGGGATCAGGCAGTGGCGTTCCATGTCACCTCCTGCCCCTACTCATAATCCTTCCATGCCTCCCTTTTGTTAGTGGGTCATTTATAAACTTCTCAGCTCAGCCTTCAAAGCACCCTCAATCTGCCCTCACCACCCTCTTCCCTGTCCTGTCTCTCACCAGCCTGCATCATGCACTCTGTACTCCAGAGAGACCGGCCGGATCAGGGCCTCCAAAACCCTGCCCCGTTGCCTCCACTCCTTTGCTCAAACTGTTCCTTCTGCTTGGAATATCCTCCCTTCTGCTTCCTTCAGATTCAGAGCTTATTCATCCTTAAAGTCCAGCTCAAGATGTGGTACCTCCGTGAGCCTTTGCTGATCACTGGAACCTCCTTGTGCTCGATTAAGGATGGCCATAAATTCTTTGCAGCCCCTTCCACCAAGAGGAGGTTCCCCACCCCCTCATAGCTGCTAGCTCCATCTGAACACCTAGGAGTTGCCCAGTAAACACTGTGGACAAGATGGAGTAGATGGATGGGTAGATCAAAAGAGAAAGAGATGGATATGAATATGGATAAACTGCTCATTGAGGGGAGTGGTTAGAGCTCTGCCATCCCTATGGTAGCCAGCAGCCACTTCTGGCTATTTTAATTTAAATTAATTATAATTAAGTAAAACAAAAAGTTCAGTTTCTTAGTCACACTAGCCATATTTCAAGTAGCCACATAAGGCCAGTGTTTACTGTATTGGACAACCCAGGTATAAAACATCTCTCTCATTGCAGAAAGTTCTACTGGGTATCTCTGGAGAGATTACTGGCTGCCCAAAGCTTCAGCCCCCTGTGCTTGGGGCAGAGACTGGGACAGGAGAAGAATATTAAAAGTCTCCAAATGGGCATGGGGACTCCTGATAAACCCTTATGGAGAAAATGGCATCAGGGTCCAGAAACTTGCTCATAACCCTCAACAATTAATGCCAGGCTAAGGTTCTGCTTCTAAAGAGAAGGAAACAAAACTTTTTGAAGTTAAAGATAAAAACTACTTGACCACACACCTGGCTCCAGACCCACAGCCCCCCCAGCTCAGGGGCTCTCCTTTACCTACCTGGCTCAGGCTCTGCCGCCCTGTCTTCTGCAGAGCCGTGATGGCCCTATGCAGGGGATACCCCAGGGCGACCACGGGCGCGATGAGGTCTTGCTCCTCCTGGCTCAGGGCAGACAGCAGGTCAGCAGAAGCGGGGTGTGATCTGCAGGTGCTGAGATGCTGAGGCACTCCGCCAAGAGGCGGCAGGCAGGTGTAGGGGCTGAGGGACTGAAATAGAGACAGGCTGGGTGTGTCAGCTGCCTCTGGAGATGATACCTGGCACAGCAGGACATTCTCCCATAGGAGAAATATGATAGGTCCGTCCCTATTATCCCATTTCACAGACATTGAAATTGAGGTTCAGAGAAGTTAATGACTGGGGAAGCAACACACATTTGGGAACTGAGCCCTGCTCAGAATCACACTCAGCGTTCTTTACCCCACACCTTAGTGAGGGGGAAGCAGGGCTGGATCTTCTTTCTTCTTCAGGTTGGCTGGGCTGAGGTTTGGCAGGGTGTGAAGCAGGGTAGGGACTGGGCACACTGGCCCTAGAGTAAGGAGGGTGGCTCGAAGGCATTTCAGTGGGTTTGGCCAGCATCACCCTTCACCCATTCCCCATGAAGAAGCACCCACCTGCCCACCCTAACCAGACTGCCCTGTCCCCTTCTCCCCAGGGAAAGCCCAGCTGCTGCCCTGGCTCCTGGGGAAGAGCATATATGTTTGACACGAATTGTCCACCCATCCCTAACTTTTCAGGGATTCTCCTGCCATGAGCTTCCCCTAGGGTCTGCTTTTGACCCTCAAACAGGAAGACATCCAAATCTTAGGATCTGAATCTACTGTTGTGACCTTAAAAATTATTCTTAGCTGTTCTGTGCCTCAGTTTTCTCCTCTGCAGAACAAGGACGTTTGTTGCTAGAGTTACATTTAATCTGGACCAGGAAAGAGCCATCCTGGCCTCAACGTCTGGTCCTTGATATGGCGCCACCTGACCAGTTTACAGAGCCTGCGCTCTGCGTTTGCTCTAAGTAATTGTGTGTGGTAAAGTGGCCCAAGGAGGGCTCAGGGCAGTTCAGTGACTCTCCAGAGGTCACACACCCATGAGTGGGAAAAGTCAGACCTCAAGTCTGTCTTTTGGATTTAAATTTCACCTGGGCCTTATTCTGTTGCATCTCTCGGCCCAACAGTAGGGCAGCTAGGGGACAGAAAGCTGTGTCCCATTGTGCCCTTTGGCTCTCATTCCTGACCCACTCCATCTGTCCAGATCCAGGCTTTATGGAGTTTGGTACTTAACATAATTTGGGCCTCTTAAAAAAGGCACATTGGATATAAAGCCTTGGAAGAGGCCAAGTGAGGGGTTTGAGGCTTAAACTTCACTGGTTTCACTTTAAATTCACTTCTACTCCTGGTTCTTCTGGGAGCACATCCTCTGTCCCAAAGTTGGCAAAAACTGTCCCCTCTCTCTCAGCACCTGATCCCTCCCACTACACGGTGCGGCCTTGTCCCACCTCTCCCTGGCCAACTCTCCATCAGTCACTGTCTCTTCCAATACCTTGCGCAGCAGGAAGTAACTGCTCAGGGAGTATCCTTTGATTTGAGCCTCCAGCTTACCCATCCCACAGGAAGCCTCACTGGGTGGGAAGCCTTAGATTTGAGTCACATTCATTCATTCAATGGACATTCCCGGAGCACCCCCTAGGGGCCAACCTGCTGCTGGGTGCCCTGGAAACAAAAATGAAGGCCCTCCAATCCCTGCCCTTAAAAAATTCATACTGCATGGGAAGAGACAGATACTGGATGATTACAATTATTGTGGCGTGGGTCCCAACAGAAGGAAAACAGACACAGCAGAAAACAGGGAATGGGGGCTTCTGAGCAGGGACTCGTCTAGGCCAAGGGCCATAGGAAGGACAGCATGGTACCGGGCTAGGTGAGAACAGGTAAAGGCAGGAAGGAGAGCAGAGAGGAGGGAACGAGGGCTGCGGACCAGGCTGGGACTCCAGACTACTGGGGGCCTTGCTGCTGAGCTGGGGTTCCTTACCGCGACCGTGGGCTTGTGGCTCCGCAGCGGGGGCATGGCGCCAGCCGTGGAGGGCCGCGGGGGCGGCGCGGGGGCGCTGGGGAGCGTGGGCGCAGGGCCCCCGGGCAGCACGGGGCCCGGACTCAGCGCGGAACTGGGGCAGAGGCTCAGCGCCCGGTGGCGGATGCGGTGCAGGAGGGCGCGGGGGCGAGCGGACAGCCGGCCCTCCGAGAGCCGCCGCCGCGCCCCGGCCAGCTCCGACTTCACGCCGCGCAGCAAGTCCATCGAGCACCGGGGATGGCCCGGGCCAGCGCTCGCAGGGGAGCTGGACAGGGGGCTGCCGGGACCTGGCTCTTCCTCGTTGGCAGAGGCGGCTTCTTCCTCTACGTGGGCCTCCCCCTGGTTCTCTTCCACCTCCTCCTCCTCCTCCTCTTCCTTGACATCCTCCTCTTTCTCCTCCTCCTGATTTAGCTGCAGCTGGGGTGTGGCCTCCGGGCCGGTGTCTGCGGCTGGTGCGGACACTGGCTCAGGTTCTGAGCCGACCAGCAAGAGCCAGGCCGGAGGGGCCGATGCCATTCCCAGGGCGTCGCATTGGACCGGGCAGGGTCCCCGGATGACAGCCTCCACCCAGAAGAGCACCCTCCTCTCCAGGCTGAAGTCATGCTGCAAGAAGAAGGCAATGTGAGGCTCTTGGGCCCAAAGCAGGGCGGAGGGCCCACCCCTACCCTGCTCCCTTTGTTCAGCCAAAAATTTGCCAGGCCTGGGCAGCTTCTGATTCTGAACTCCAGGCGCTATTACCACCCACCCTCAGGCCCAGTTTTAGCAAGCACTGGGTTCGATGGACAGCAGTAACAATTGAATGGGTTAACTCTGCCTGAAGGACATAATGAGGAATTAGGTTAGCACAATGAAACAGTCCCTTTGCCATTATGTAATTGAAACCCCAAATCCCAAGACCCTTTGCCATTCAATAGCAGCTTTAAAAAAGCCTCCAAAACCTTGTTTTTAGCAAAGAAACTTTCACTTGAACCAAGCACCATTTGCCAGTGAGCACTCAGCCCTGGAGGCTCACTCAGCACACAAACCTCTCCTTTCCCTTTGTTGCCATCAGAGGTTACTCTGAGGCCCAAGAAACATAAAAATCACTAATCTCTGTTAAACTCCACTGAGTATGTTATAGTGTTATTTCTCTTTGCTGAATATGAAAATGAGGCTCAGAATCTTCATATTGCTGGAGGTCAGATTGGTGTCGAGCGGTTTGAGCTGGGATTCCTCTGTCCACCTGACAGTAGTGTTTTCTCACTACATATCAGGCCACCTGAATAAGCAGTCTGGAGTTCACATAAATAATCTAACTTGAGAATTTAGAATTGAGTCAAAAATTTATCTGCTGCCTACCTTTAAAAGTAAGAACCAGAAATACAAAATTCTGTTAAAGAATGTAAAATTGTTTAAAAGGCTCTTTCAGTGCTCTGTGATGGTCAATGAAGGAAGAACGAAGCTGGGGGAGGTGGTATTTGTGGGGGGGGAAGGAGAGGCAGAAAGACAGGTACTCAGACACGTAGATCACAGGTACATGTCCCCTTCTCTCCTGACATGACCCCAGGTTGAGGAGAGGAGCCTAACTAGGCTGTTCTAGCATTGCTTCCTGACTGAGGTAAGGGACTGTGTCTTATTTCTCTCTGCATCCCCAGGGCCCAGGCAGGCCTGACACAGGTTAGACGTTTATAAGTATGTGCGGAATAAACAGTTGGATGAAGAGATTGGAGCAAAACAGGCAGGTTGTGAAGGACAGAGGAAGGAAAAAGACCACGTGAAGAGTGATGAGGCAGACATGGAGTGAAAGAGACTAAGGCGGTTTCAAGACAGCTGACGGGACTCGGGACGAAAAGATACCAAGACCCAACCTCAATACCAACACTTGATGATTTATGGACCTAAGCAAGATAATTCTAAAGTTCATATGAAAAACAAACAAGGGAAGTGCCAGAAGACTCTGGGCACAAAATGGTAAATAGGGAGAGGGAACTGGCCCTACTGGCTGTTTAATCATATTATAAAATGTCAATAATTTAAACTATGGTATTGGTACAGATGCAGGTATAGAATAGGAAGTTTAGAAATAGACCTTAATATCTATGGGGCTTTAGTAAATAATAAAGGGGGAATCTCAAACAATGGGAAAAAGAGGGACTAGCCAATAAATTATGTTAGCTGGCTTGAAGAAAATGAAGTTGGATCCATTCTCACATTATACAAAAGAATTAATTCCAAAAGGACCAAAAATTCAAATGTATGTATGAAACTATTAAAGTACTAGGAAAAACAGAAGAGACGTCCTCAAGTGGGGAAAGCCTTTCCTGAAGCCATAAAAGTACAGATACACACATGTGCAAAATCTGCATGCAAATATACCACAAGCAAGGTCAAAGACAAATGGCAAAGTTGGGGAAAAACAGCACTCACATAAGAGACAAAGGGCTAAATTTACTAATATAGGAAGTGTTAGAAATAGATTGGAAAAAGATCAACAGTTCAATGGGAAAGGAGCAAAAGATATGGATAGTCCACAGAAAAGAGACACACAGATGTCTTCTAAACACACGAAGAGTTGCTTAACTTCACTCATGATAAGAGAAAGGCAAATCACAGCTACCCTGAGATACCATCTGCCTACCCCTCAGCAAAGACCCAAAGTGTGAGGACACTCTGTTGGAGAGTGGGGAGCGGGGGGCATGTGGCCTCCTGTAGAGTGCTGGCCGGGATGGAAATCAGTATGACTCCTGTGGAGGGAAATTTGGAAAAATGCTTAAAGAAATTCAAAAGGACACATGCATATCGTCATTCCTGGCCGCACTGTTTATCATGGCAAGAGACTGGGAAGAACCCAAATGTCCATCAAGAGGGCACCCATTCAAGAAAGTAGGATATAGCCACGTAATGCAATGCTACACAGTGAAAAATGAAACTGAAGAAGCTTTTTATGTACTGATACAGAAAGATCTTAAAATATATGCGGTACAAAAGTCAAGAAGAACAGTGTATATAACATGCTACCGTTGGTGTAAAAAGGGAGGAAATAGCTGTACTTGCTTGTCTCTATACACGTAAATATCCCCAGAAGAATACAGAGAAAATGAGGAACAGATATCTCCAGTGAGGGTGTGGAGCTGGGGAACTGGGTCAATGGGAAGGTGTCAGTGGGCAACTGTTTGCTCTCCCAAGGCCTTCAAGCTGCCTGTGGGCCATGCTGCCTACACCCACTGCATTTGTAGGTAAACTGTTATTTGAACACAGCTATACCCACCCACTCCTTTCCAGAACTCTGGCTTTTTCCCTACAGCAGCAGAGTTGAGTAATTGCCAGTTTTTACTACCTGGTCTTTTATAGAAAATGTTTGTTAACCTCCGCTCTATATAATTTTGTAATCTTTTTCTTTTTTTTTCTTTTCATTTTTAAACTATGTGAATGTATTTTTTCACTAAGAATATATATATATATATTTTTGTTAGGGCAATTCACTCTAATTAAAGGGAAAACTGTGAAACAATAAAAACACAGAGTTGCCAAGGCTTTAAGTATGGAAGGAAGGGTGAAGGCAGCAGAGGGGAAGGGGTGGACATGGGCTGACAGACAAGTGCTGGAATCTTGGCTGTGTCACTTGCAAGTACATCAGTTGGGTGGGAGCTTTGGTTTCCTGTGCCATGGGGTAGGAACACATGCCTGCTAAAAGGGTTATCATAAATATGAGAGAGAAGAGTGACTATACACAGAGCACCTAAGCAGGGGCTAACGGTAGCTGTGGTGATTACTTCTTTCCTTTAGACCACTGTAGGTTCACCTGGTAATCTAAGCACTACCTAGAACATCGTTGTTATGGTAAATGTATTCCAGGTTCTAAACACTGGGAATAACAGCCTGATGAACTCAAGGGGACTTAGCAGGAGAGGCTAAACTGTTAGCCCGGAGTTTAGAGACTAAACTCCATGGAGTTTAGAGGAGTTTAGGCTCCGGGGAGTACAGATACCCTCGCTGAGAGTAGGGGGCAGAGCCAGGCTCAGCACCTGGGCAAGGAAACCAGACATGGACTTGGTAGAAAGTTTCCCAGTTCTGCTTCTAAGAGAAGTAACTTTCAGGATAGCCTCTTCTCGGCTTGGTCAGCTCAGCAGGGAGGGGAAAGCTGTGATAATCCACCTTGGCTGGAGCTTCATCAAGCGAATTCCTCTTCCCAACGACACAGGCCCACAGCGCAGGCTGCCTGGGAAAAGTCAGAGCTCCCGCCCCACAAACTATTGGCCCGTGGACACTGGGCTTTCTGGGTTTTACAGAGTGTATTTCCCTTCTGGACACCTTGGTCCTAAGGGTCTGCCGATAAAGCAAAATGGCACCGAGTCTCCTGCTCCTGGGCCCCCGAGCCACTCAAGCCCCTTCCTCTTTCGTGGATGGTACTCTCTGCATCTGACTTCCTACAACCCGGTTTTCTGCCTCAGAACATCACTCGTCCAGTGTCTCATGCTCCGATCCAGCTCTGAGCGAATATACAATGATTTAGAGATAACACCTGGGTGTTAGTCTTGCCATCACCACTAACTTTGGACAAACGACTTCCCTTCTCTGGACTTCCGGTTCCTCATGTGCAAAATGAGAGAGAGCCGCCCTAGAGCCTCAGAGTTTTTTACCAAGTACCCTGCAGACAGTGAAGAAGGCACACAAGGCATACAAGACTCTGAGAGGCCCAACACCAGTTTCACAGTTTTTGGCAATCTCGTTCTCCCGTTTGTAAAAATTCATGTGAATTCTGCGTCCTCTCTCATGATCTGTGTTATAATACAGATGCAATATGTTTCCCCCTAAACATTCAAGTAAATGGGACTCTCCTGGAAGTTAGATCATCATGTTTCTCTTGAGGGTGTGCGATACCACCGCATACACTGGGTGCATATCCCCATGTGTGAGCTGTGGGGCATGGGGGCTTTCCAGGGCACCTCTGGGGGAGAGGTGCTTTGGGTCTATGGAATAGTAACCCCTTCTAATGTGTCCCATGTAACTGTCTGCATTTTAACAGAGGATTCTGGAGATAGTGTCTTAGTTCACAGGAGTGATTCTAAATGGTAGAATTTTGACCATGGCAGCAGGACCATGGGAATTTTGACCATGGGAAAAGAGGAATTGGAGAATCTTTGCAATGACTCTCAGTCACTTCCTATTGGCAGCTTCCTGTTATTCTAAGCTTCAAATAAAACCCAGCAAATAATCCCTGTCATCAGGCCACTAGCTTTCTTCGTGAAACGCCTTTTCCCCTTGGATTTTTCCCAAACTGTCTAGAACATACCAGAGATGGACTTGCTGCCATGTATGTATGTATGTAGGCTCCACACCTAGTGTGAAGCCCAACGAGGGACTTGAACTCACACCCCTGAGATCAAGACCAGAGCTGAGATCAAGAGTTGGAGACTTAACTGACTGAGCCCCCCAGGTTCCCTGGCCTCGCTGTCCTTTAAAATCAAGGAACAAGGCCCATGAGTCTCAGCATCAGATCTAGAGGAGCAGAGACAAGAGATAAAGGGACAGACAGATACACTTACCATAGAACCCAGCAGAAGCTCCCTGCAGGCTGGGATGCTGAGCTCTGGCCCAGGAAGGGACTTTGTGCCTATCACAAAGCCATTGGGCACCTTGAAGGGGACGCCGTCAAGGGCATTCATTCTGTCAGAAGAGTGTGGTGATGGCTGAGCAGGGCTGGGGCAGGCTGCCTGGTGGCAGGGAGAGAGCACAGTCCTGAGGACCAGGCTTGGTCTCAGATGACCTCACCACTCTCTTGAGTGCTGACTTAGCTGAGCCCCACACAGCCGGGAAAGAAAAGGTAAAGTGGCTGGTGCTGCACAGGGAGGAAATAAATAAAAGTGAGAGCATTCAAACTGACAGGAATTGACTATTTCATGCTTAAGTTTTGTTCTAGACCATTGTTTCCCAAAATGTGGCCTACGAAACTGGTTCTAAAGTGTGTCATCAAAAGAGTTCCCAGCCAAACATATAAGGAAAAAAATGTCAAATTACACAAACTCTTCCAGAAAAGAAATATTTCCTGACTCATTTTGATTTCAGCACCACCTTGATACCAAATCTGATAAAATTAAAGGCCAATCTCTCAGGAACATAACTGCAAAAATCTCAACAAAAATAATTATGGATAGGAAAATACAACACTGCCAGCTTGAGGGTTGAGTTTATTTCAGGAATGAGAGACTGGCTTAATATTCTAAAATCAATCAGTGGGAGTAAAGATAAATGTCAATAAAGATGAAAAAATATATGATTATCTTTGTAGAGGCAGAAAAAGCACTTCATAAAACCAATACCTGTTCATGATGTTAAGAAAAAAAAAATCAGCAACTTAGGAAGAGAAAGGACTCTCCTTAACTTAATCAAGAATATTACCAAAATATCTAAAGCAAACATCCCACTTAATGGTGAAATACTGAAAGATATCCCCAAGATTGGAATTGAGACAAGAATGTCCCCACCATCTCTTCTGTTCAACATTGCACTGGAGGTACTAGCCTGTGCAAAAGGAGAAGGAAAAGAAACAAGGACTGGAAAGAAATAAAACTACCATTATCTGTGGATGGCATATGTAGAAAATTCAAAGGAATCTATGAATAAAACTCTTAGAATTAATAAGTGGATTTAGCAAGGTCCTTGGATTACAAGATCAATATATGAGAACCAACTATATATACAAAGTATGTAAATGTCTTTTTAAAAATGTCATTAGAGGGGGCGCCTTGTTGGTTCAGTTGGTTAAGCAACTGCCTTCGACTTGGGTCATGATCCCAAGTCCGGGGATCGGGACCCACATCGGGCTCCCTGTTCAGTGGGGAGCCTGCTTCTCCTTCTCTCTCTGCTGCTCTGCCTGCTTGTGCTCTCTCGCTCTCTGTCAAATAAATAAATTAAAAAAAACCTTATAAAAATGTCATTAGAGAATGAAATTTTAAATAAGATACCATTTCATATTATTAACCACCTAGGACACGACCTAACATAAGATATATAAAACCTCTACACAGAAAACTATAAAATATGATATTTAATGGAGGAACATGCCATGTTCATGGGTTATTATGACTCAATATAACAAAGATAGCAATTCTCCCTGAATTGATTTATAGATTCCATGTATCAAAATTCCATCATGTTTTTTTGGGTTAATTGGCAAACTAACTCTAAAATTTAAATGAAATGCAAAGGACCAAGAAAAGCCAAGACAATCTTGAAGAAGAAGCAACACAATTGGAAGATTTATACTATCATATAGCAACACTTACTTTAAAGTTATAGGGATTAAGTCAGTGTGGTACTAACATGAGGACTTACAAAAAGTCCAGTAAAACAGAAAAGAAAGTCCAGAAACAGATCCATACATATACAGATCCTTAACTTGTGACAAAATTGGTCCTGCAGAACATAAGAAAAATAAATGTCTTTTCAGTAAATGGCACACTGGATATCCACCTAGAAAAAAAAAAAATCATGACCTGTACTTCACATCATGTACACAAATCAGTTCCGGGTAGACTGTAGATCTAAATGTGAAAGGTAAAATAAAGCTTGAAGATAAGACAGGGGAATATATTCATGGCTTTAGAATAGGTAAACATTTCTTAGGCAGGTTGCAGAAAAGACAACCATGAAGCGAAACACTGACAAATTGTGTTACATTAAAGAACTTCCACTCATCAGAAGATGTCAGTAAGAGAGTAAAAAAACAATGACACAAAACAGAAACAAAAACAAAGACACGCAAACAAACAACAAAAGACATAAATCAGAATGGGAAGAGATATTTGCAGCATGTATATCTGACCAAGGATTCATACCTGATATACACAAAGCAATAAAGAAAAAAAAAAGACCTAGTACAAAAATAGGCAAGAGATGTTAAGAGGCACATCATGAAAGAAGACATCCAAATAAACCTTAAAGTCATTAACATCATTAGCCATTGGGGAAATGCAAAACAAAACAATGAGATACCAACACACACACACACACACACACACACACACACACACACGTAAATGATTAAAAAAAAAAAAAAGCCTGACAATATCAAGGGTTGATGAGGAAGTGGACATCTGGAACTCTCCTGCACTGTTGGTGAGAAAGTCAATTAGCATTAGTCAACAGTATCTGCTACTAAAGCTGAAATCTAAGAATTAAAAATTCATTCACACATAGACTCTGGGCCTTTAGTCTAAGATCAAGTATGTGTCTGCTAGTTTAATAATGTCCACAACCACCAGGGATTTGTAATGTATTCTAAACCAGATTAAATAAAGATTCTGACCACAGTCTGGCATTTTGCAAACAATCAGGGTTTATCAGGGAGCCACACCAGGGAGTATCTCTGGCTTAACACAATGTCATCCCTACCAGGATGTTGTAAAACCCTGTTGCAAGGGGTCACTGGGTCATCCCCATGCCCACAGGGGAACATGATGTGAGGAGGCAGAGTAAGTAATCTGAGTGCAGAGAGGTCAAATGAGGCCAGATGGGCAAATACTTTAATTCCCTCATCTCCGCTGTCTGCCCACTCCTGTCTGGGTCTTACCGTATGTTAAGCCTCAAGACGCTTCTCCACCCCATGCCAGGAGACAGTTTCCCAGCACACTGGGAGCGGTTCTTTATGCTACAGGATCAGACAAGTCGCAGAGTGGTTAGTAAGTTATCTGCCCCATCAGCCTGTTCCAACAGGAGACCTCTTAGGATAGGGAGTTGTAGGAGACATAGGAAAGTTAGCAAGTTTTGGCATTCTCAGATTGACAGTCATCTCTGCTAAACAGAAAATGAGAGGTACAGATCATGAAGTGATGATAGTCTTCAAAGGAAAGAAAGTATTCTAGACCTTATCGGGGCTCGGGGGAGCTTCAGCAAGGATGGGACCTTCAGGGTAGGGGAACGGCCTGTGAGCAGGAAAAGGTAGAGTGGAGAGGGTAACTCCAGCTTGAGACAGGGAACAGAGGCAGGGCAGAGTGAGGGGGAGACCACCTGTGTGACTCAAGTAGATAGTTTTGCTGGGAAGCAGCCTGCAGTCACTGAAGACTGGGGTAGAGCTGGGAAGGGCCCTGAATACTGACTCCATTCAGTAGACAGTGGAGAAATCCCTGAAGGATCTAAAGGTGTGGGCTGAGGGTAGGGGAGCAGGGATGCTGGCAAAGCCAGTCTGAGCATGCTTCGGCAGGCTGCATAATCCAGGACCCCTCCGTGGGTCTGTGCTCATTGGGCTGAGTCAGAGTCTAGAGGCGAGAGGCAGGGCAAGTGGAGGTTGTGGTAACTGGTCTACGTGGAGCCCAGGCACTGACATTGGTACTATTTTTTAAAGATCTCCACTGTACTCTCTAAATGACTTCATCCTTGTCCATAGTGTCAATAACCTATGTGCCGATGACTCACATATTAGATTCTCCAGTTGTTCTCCGAGATCGAACTCATAATAACTGCCTACAAGGCATCTCTTCCAAGACTGTCCTCAAGGATGTCTCAGACTCTACATATCCAAAGTGAACTCCTGATTTCTCCCTCCCCCAAACTGTTCCTCCTCCTCCAGGATTCCTTGTCTCAAGGGATGTCGAAGGTATACAAACTGAGAACTCATGTCCGACACTTTCTTCTTCACCACAGCCCATCTCAATTCCCTGTCATGTTTCTCTCTTAAATCTCTGGAATCCAGCCATTTCATGCTATCTCCACTGCTAACAAGGGAGTCCAAGCCCCCATTATCTCTCACTTGGTTAACCGGTGTCCATGTATCCTCTTATGCCCTAATATTATAAGTCTGTTTCATATACTGGGACAAAAGCGATCATTTCAAAACAGAACACTAAGCCAATTTCCTGATTAAAAGTTCCCAGCTGCTCTCAGAATAAAACCCAAACTCCTGATAAGGGCTTCCAAAGCCCTGCAGTGTCTGGCCGCTACTACCTCCCCTCCTTACTCTTGCTATGCTAGTCTTCAATTGTTTTGGTCTCTTGGACCAACACAGGCCTTTTGCATATGCTATTCCAAATTTCTGTCTTCTTCTTGTCTCCTCTGTACTAGTTTATAGCTGTTCATTCTTCATAGTTCAGCTGAAACATCATTTCCTCAAAAGCTTTTCCTGATCCAACCCCCAAAGTTGGATAGGATCTACCCAGTACAGTGGCTTTTAAGATTTGTTTTTTATTGTGACCCATAGTATGAAATACATTTGGCTTTGTGACCCAGCATAGACATATGTAAACTGAGTAACAATTCCTATCGCTACTATATATTTTCTATTTTACCTAAATGCATTACAAAACTCAATTTGAAAAAAACGGTGGGCGGGGGCTACTCTTACAGGACCATACCTTTCCTTCAAAGCACTCAGCACATTTTTTATGATAGTTGGATCAATTAACTGGATATTAATCTATCCCCCTCAAAACCTGTATGGGGTCTTGGTATTTTGCTCACCATTATAGCCCTCGTATTTAGCAAATTAATCTGAGCCTTAACAGCCATTTAATATATATTTGAACAATGGAAAATAGAAATAATGACTAACCACTTTTTCTTTGTAGTACGTATCACAATTATAACTAATCATCTCTATAGCTAAGCTTCTCTACTCCAGATTCTAACTCCAAGAGAGCAGGAATTCTGTCTTTTTGCTCTTTTTTGTCTTCAGCATTTAATGTCGCTCCTGGCAAACGGTAAAAACGGTTTCCCAAATACACAGTTCAAGACCTGGTATCCATATTCTGGCAAGCACTGAGCTGAGAGTAGCCTACTGCTCTGCAGAGTTAATGCATTCTAGCACCAACTGCCTTAGAAAAGGATCCTCGCTTCAGAGACTATGAGAAAC